CCTAGACAAACCAGAACCACACAAAATTTAGAGCTTTCATAAAAGTAGTATATGTACAAGTTTTTGCAAGCTACATAGTAAGATACACACATGCAAAATTAGTTTCAAAATGCTGTCTCTCTCGTGACTTGTATTTTGGGACTCCGTTTCACAGAAAATGGAATCTCAGTCACATCTGGGTAAATTCAATAATTTTCAGACTTAACTTTCCATTGGGTGAGGCTTGCTCTTTCCTCCCCTCTTTTGTTTGGAATCGCTTCCAAGTTACCGAGAGCGTATATAGTAAGAAGGAATCTTGGGGTGTCTCTAGCCTTGGGAAATGCTTCCGTGTCATTTGTACTTGACAAAAATGTACCATTAACTGTCCCCAGATATGTCCAGGCATAGGACTCCACCAACCCATATCCAGTTGGAAGGCGTTTGGAGTCTTACCAAGCAGGGCATGTGGGATTTTCTCTAGTCTACTCAATTTGTCATTCCGGTTCTTCTACCTCCTCTTGGATTATTGTTGAGACAGTTCCTCCATGGGTTCCTGTGAACTGGAACTAAATTGTTCTCTCTTGTCATTCCCAAGGTGAGGAGGATAGAATTGTACCATCTATCCCTTCAAACCTACCATCAGCTCCCATGAACGAGGGACAGAGGGATGGATGCCCTTCCTATCACTAATAATCTCTTTTCTTCTCCCTCTCAGAATCTCTTCTATTGTCTGAGAAAGACAAACATAAGGACTATGAATCTCACTCAACAAATTTTCTTGCCAAATCTTCCAGTCTAATATCTAGATTGTATTCTCAAACAGATTTCTCAAAGTTAAAAGTCAAGAATCAATCAAATATGTTTTCCATTTTTGCTGTTAGCAACCTCTGCCTTCCTTGACAGCTACTTAGCTCCTGCGTCCTGAGTTTCAGGAACCAAGGATTTGAAGGCTGGTTGCACGGAATTTGTGTGTGGTGGGAGAGGGTACATATCCCACATCAGAAAGTGACATTGACAAGTGGAGAATTCCCAGAACCCATTTTTTCCTTCTCTTGTGATTTCTCTATAACCTTCCCGGCAAAATCTACTGTAGATAATTATCTGATAAATATAACCCTAATACCTTATACCACCATCTGTCTGTCAGTTTGTTGCACTGTTGTGGCTTTCATACAGGTATGATGCTGCCAGCGATGCCATCCGCATTTCAAGCACCACTACAGCGGTGTAAAGAAATGATGGCGACATTCAATATTATCTGTCAAGACAAAGCCAGGGGCCAATGGCAGAACAATCCACCAATTGTTCATGTGAAATTTCAAGTTGAAGTTGAATAAAATCAAAACAAGTTCAAGAAAGCCAAAGTGTAGCCTGACATGCATCCTCAAACATAGATCTGACACACTGAACACTAATGACTGAAGATCAGGAGAGTTGTGGAAATACATTTGATAGCATAAGGGAAGAATGCAAAAGGCATTAAAGAGACAGGGAGAAAGAAAACATCAAAAATGGATGACATAAGATACTCTGAAATGTGCTTTTAAGCACAGAGTAGCTAAAGCACATGGAAGAGTTTTCTATAAAAGAATTGAATTCAAGAAAACAAGGTAAAATATCATAATGTGCAAATGTCTAGAATTAAAAATCTAAAGGGGGAGATCACATTCATAGTACCTTAAGTTGTAATAAATGAAGACAAAAATTCAAGCCTTGAGCTGACATATTAAGGGATTCTAAAGAACACCCCTTGAAAAGGACGTTATATTTGGCAAAGGAGATGAATAGCTACCGTGGCTGGAACATTTAGGTCAAACATAACAACTGCCAATGGTTCATAGTGTGGTGCACAGGTTCACTGTGAGTCAGAACTGCTAAGCAGCCTGTAACACCATGTAAAACAAAGCATGTTCATGTAAATCAGAGAACATCATAGTTGGTAAAGTAGAGGGTCAGCAAAAAAGATAAAGATCCTTGATGAGATAGATTGACACAGTGGCTGCTTGACTGGGTTCAAACATGACAACAATCATGAGGTTGGCGCAGGACTGGGCATTGAGTGTTTTTCTGTTGTACCTAGAGTGGCTATGAGTCCTAGCCAACTGAATGGATGGCACCTAACAATGGTGAAACATTGAATTATGTAGGAAGCATCAGAAGAAAATGGAAGAAATATACAAAGTCACTGTGCCCCCCTCCCAAAAAGAAGATGGACATTGAGCCACGTCACAAGGCTGCATATGATCAAGAAGTGCTAGTGCTGAATGAAGGAGTCTATGCTTTACTGATGGCATTGGTGAACAACAAGGCTCCAAAAAGGAATTAAATACCAATTGAGATGCTTTGACAAATGATTCAAACATTGCAAATCCTTACTCACCTATGTCAAGAAGTTTGGAAGAGTTACCTGGCCAACCAACAAAGGAAGGCCATTACTGTATATGGAATGTGAAAATTATTAATTTTAATCAATATTTCATGCTAGCTAAACTTTGCAAAATATAATTTAAAATTAGGTGCAACAGTATGTTGCCAAAACACTGCCAGAAATTGAAGCTAAAAGATATGGAATGAGGGATATAATTGTAAATGTTAGATGGATCCTGACTAAAACAAAGATGGCAGAGAGATATTTACCTGTGCTTTATAAACAAATGAATTAGGCTATGTGGATCAAAAAATTGACGTTTTCAGAGCGACCCATGAAGGAGTGGTCAAGAAAAACTGGTGGTGTCATGAGATATGAGTTGTTCCACTAATCACAAGGTCAGCAATGTGAACCCAACAGCTGCCCAATAGGAAAAAGATGAGAACTTCAGCTCCCATAAAGATTTACAGCTTAGAAACCCACAGGGGCAGTTCTACTCTTTCCTATGAGGTTGTTCTGAGTCAGAATTGATTAGCTAGAGGGCAGTGAATTTGTTTCTTAGGGATAGCAAAATAAAGAAAAAAGAGATTTCAATAGTGCGTTAATGCTTGTGGTTTTGTGGTTAGAATCATATAATATCAAAGTATTCAAGACTAATTTATCTATGGCATATTTGTGTTTATTTTTCCGAACTTATCCATATGTTTTATGTGAACAGGGCCACTGGCTGGAAAAGATAAATACATCTTTAAAGGTTATGAATTAAGCCTTTGAACCTGCAGATGGTGCTATGATCCCATTCTGAAATTCAATTTTGCTTTTAAAATTAATAGAGGGGCAATGCAGGGGGCTTGCCTAGTTTATTCTTCTTCCAAGGTAATAAGATTGGATTATTTCTTTTTAATTTTGTATCTTATCACTATCATGGGAGAAATTTTCTTTACTACTGGAAAACCAATATTATACTTGCTGGTAGTGAATGCTAAGTAATTCCTTACACTTAATGATCAGCAATTTCTACGTCTTTTATTTTCTATTGGATTCTTTTCTGGGGGCAAAAAGTTTTTCTGTGACCCCC